GGCTGGGGGGCTGGGGAGAGACACCCGGCTCGGCGGCGCAGACAGCGAGTGCTCGCTTCCCCCTGGCTCGGGGCCCTTTATAGCCCGGGCGGGAGGCGTTGCTGGCGCTTTTCGTCACCCCTGAAAGCAAGAGCCAAATTCCAGAATCATCATTTTTCTCTCCCCGATTTCACGTCTTTTGTCACATCCCACTAGAAGCAGTACGGCACACACAGGATCTTCTCCTTCCGCTTGAGTTCCCAACACCCAGCGTGATTCAGACCAAAGGCTCCTTGCTCACGGCTACGTTTTAGCATTTCACTGTTGCACCTGAGACGCAGAGGCGCTCGCTCCAGCTCCACCCCGCTGCTCCCTCGTGAAGTGAATCCTCTGTGATATGCCAAGTCGCTCACAAGTGCCTTATATCATTAAAAACCTACAAATCTATTTATCTGTTTTTTTAAAGAGTCTAAAGCCAACGAAAACTGCTGACTTAAGAGCTCTGTGCACCCGTAATCTTCATATGGGCTGACCCAAAGCCAGATGGAAACTTTCCCGTCAGGACCTCTGTCCCAGGACAAGCACAGACCTGGCGGTATTTGTGTCCTGAATTTGGCAGAAATCTTGTAACTCAAAAGAGAAGAACCTCCAGTAATTTCTGCTTGCGTACTGGCGTAGGGTGAATCTCTCTGCAGAGCCTGGAAAGTCCCTGCAGCAGTGGTTTCTCAGTCAGTTTACGAGGCAGATGCCCAGCGTTTCCCAGTGGCACCTGCATCACAGCATCACCTTTCACAAACTCCCCAGCAGCCTGTGACTTTTAAAAGACTTGTAGAAGCTAAAAACTTCCGTGCCACAGTTTATTCTATCTCATTGCTGAGGCAGGTTTTAATGCTTCAATAGTCTAAATCAGAGAAGAAGCTTTGAAACTGCATTAGACACCCGCTGCCAGGACACACACTGTGCAATTTCCGACGGGAAGCGTGTGACCAACCCTTACCAATGCCTACGCCTGCCTGCAGAGGCTTTTTCCTAAAACATTTGCAGCTGCAAGACACAATTCTAACGTAACTCAGCGCGACCAGCAGCGCTTGTATCGGAAGTGCTGATGGGCTCCACAGATCAGCGAGGAGCAAGACCACCACGAGCACCTGCGAAGCAGAGGGTTTACACAGGACACGGCAAGAAGAGCTGTACAGAGACGAGGCGATGCAGCCACCGCGACAGCCACGCCTGCATCGTGCTATTAAAGGATTGAGCACAGCGATTACAGTAATGCAGCTGGACAGGTATTAGCGTGAAAAAAGCAGCAGAGAACCAGGAAGGGAGACACTGCACTGTTTTATTCTTTGTCGGGGAAAAAAATCCCTTTACTGATGTGGCGCCAGCTCTTTCAGTAGACAGTGGAAAATCGCACACCCAACCTGCTGGCTTGCCTGGCCACAGCGATGTCATTCTCGGATAAGAGAAGTTATTTTTCCTTTTAGCAGAGGTGCCTGTGAGATAGTGCAAGGGAGTTACAGGGATTAGGAACCCTTTTGTGCTTTCTGTCTTGTGGTGATCTCCTTCCTTCCCGGGGCCCCTCTGGCTATTTTCACATTCTAATGCACTTAACTGATTTTGGAGCTGCTAAGATGTTCCCAGAGCCTCACCCTCGGTAATTCGTAGTACCTCCTTTCTTTCATCTGTTCCCTGAAGGACGCAATAACAACAACGTTTTATCTGCATCTCTGTAAGATCTGAAGGACTTAATAAGGGAGTCACGTTCTCTTCCTTTAGCAGCTCCAGGAGAGGTGGTGTGATTTTTCTGGGAGGCCACTGAGGAAGCAGCATAACCAGAAACAAGACTCCAGATCCTCCTAGTCGAGGGCTCTAGTCTGCACAGCACTGCCTCAGAACTGAGTGGCTTCAGATTTGGATTTTTGACTCCCCAAGCTGCAAAATCTGGGGATTTGGGATGCACACGTGCCCCGTCCCTCAGAGACCTGGGGGAAAGGAGAGGACCTGGGAGCAACCCACCGCTGGCAAACAGCAGAGCATGCGGATGATTGTGCTCAGCTTGCAGTGAAGTCCTGGGGCAACGTGGCAGGGTGAAAATCGGTGTTCATGCTGGCCCGCTTCCCTCTGTAGCGGTGGGGACAGGGTTAACCAAACGTCGTGTGGGAGCTGTGCTCAAGTGCCATTCCTTGGCCACCCGTGCTCTGAGTTCTTCCAGATGTGCTGGCTTTGCTCATGTTTGCTCCAGCAAACACCCCCCTGCTCCAGGCAATTCCTGTGTTGGCCATGAGCCCCACACATGGGCCAAAAATGGTGCCGTGAATTCTGTCACCCCGCTCAGGTGGTGACATTCTAGGCCAAGTTATGAGCCTGCAGGTGACAACTGCCATGAAACGAAGCAAAGCCCTGCCCCAGCCCCACAGGCAGGAGATACCTGGATTTAGGGCGCTCTGTTCCGTTATTATCATGACCCCAGCCCATTTTTAAGCTCTTTTATTACAGCCAGCCCAGGAGCCTAGGAAGAGGTCCGGAGATTGTCCTGCAGTATCAGCTTTTTCTGGTCTTTTCTGATCAATGTTCTTGCCAGTCAGCTGCTGCCCTGACCTCCGACCGAGCTCCTAAACAGTAATCCCCAAACTGGCCCCACTCTTAAAAGAGAAACCCTTAGCACCAAGTTCCCCTTGCGCCAGCTCTGTCGACCAGGCATGATTATACAGAGGAGCGTGCACCACTTCAACTATTTTATGTTACCAGAAGAATTCAATCTCCCAGGCTCTCCTGCAACACTCACCCACAATAAATTCCCTTGAGTTAGGAAAAAAAAAAAACACATCATAATGTTCAGGAGATGGTATCAGAGTCTGTTCCAGCAAGGAACATGCCGTAGATGCTATCTCTCCCTCAGGTTTGCTTCAGGGGGAAAGAAGGATGGTTAGCACAGGAAGGGAGGTGAAATTATACGTTGGGACTGGACAAGCAGTGCACACTGTAAGCCAGTGTGGTGAGGGCTGCTGTGAAAATGCCAGGGTCAGCGTGTGTTGCATTTGCCTCAAACAATAGCACTTAATTGTGCTTTTAATGTCATGAATAAGAGCTAATTAGGAGTCACTGGGTTCCCCTGTGGGCCAGCTTCTCCTGAGTGCCTCTCACAGCGATTCACAGCTCAGTAGAAACTAGCTGAAGGATGCAGCCCTGGGAAAGACGTCTCCTGCCTGTAAGGAAGGCTTTACCCTTGCTGACAGGTTTGCTCTGTAAGCTTGAACAACACCAAAATGGGTAACAAATATACCAAGGTGTGGAGTGAAATATGCCGTCTCTGTTTCTATCTCATCTCAGCTGCTAATTCTTTATCATCTGCTAGGACATGTCCTGACAGCCCCCCTGTTATCTGGAAAAAAGCAATCCCAGATCTGTTACCGTGAAAGGAAACTTCGTGGTGTGTGTGCAATGGAAACTCCCTTCTGGGCAGGCTCGGGGCATTTAGCCATCAGCCAGCGAGCTGAGCCAAGGCTGGCCCGAGCTGCAGGGCGATGGGTGATGCTCACCCCATTTGATCCGCTGCTGCCCACAGTGCTGCCTGCGGGATGGAGGGGAGACAGGCAGCACAGCCTCATCCCCTATAGCTGTAGAAGGGGAGGAGGCAGCAATGGAGCCAGCAGGGCGAAGGACTGACTGGAGGGGAGACCAGGGGAGTGACTCTGTACTGTCCTTCTCCAGGCTCCAAACGGGGTCCTGCCAATGGTGAAGCCAGACCTTGCTCTGCCCGCGGACCCCTGCAGGCAGCCTCCATCGGCAGCCACGGCAGCCCTGTGTCAGGGCCACCCTGGGCTCTCAGTGAATGTGGAAGAGGGTGATGCTCCTCTGTGTTGGCTAGTGCCCCACGTTCTTTGCAGAGCATCAGGCAAGGTCCTGGCCGTGCATCATTTGATGCTTCACAAGCCACCTCCACCAGTGAGCACCTTGCTGGGCCTGAGACCTGCTCTGCCCGTTTTGGCACAGTGTGAGCCAAGGAATCACCCCTTACCGGAGTGATTCCCAGTGAATCGGCACTGCCAACACAACCAGTTCACATGCTCCGTCGCTCAGCGGCGGGAGCAGCTCAGCCAAGGGGCTGGGCAGTGCAGAGCGACGCGGCTATGTCTGCTTTGCTTCGGGGATCACAGCCCCATCTGGCACTAGACAGTCTTTCAACACATCGTTCAAGCTCTTCCCCCAGGTCCTGCTGCAGTTATTCATCCTCACAGCCACCCAAGCGCTCTGACCGCCCATCGTGCTGTCAGCTCACCCAACCGAAGGCTGTCTGAGCGCTGCTTTTCTGCTGGCATGTTCTAGCAATAAAGATACTGAATCGCTTTTGATCACAACCAGTCTTGTCTCCAAGGACTGGCTCAGCCTTTCTGACCTGCTTGGGGATGAGGAACTCATTCCAGCGAGCTGAGCGCTGTGAGCAGCTCACCTCCCTCTTACGCTCAAAGGGCTCCCCGGTGACATCCCGGCTCACATGCTCCAGCTCGGGCTCAGGCCGGTACCAATACGCAGAGCCGTGGGCCAGAGACGGGGATTCCCTGGTCTGGAGCCCAAGGGGCGAGCTGCCCTGCAGCGGGTGCAGGACCCAGGCTCTCCAAGCTGCTGTCAGAGGCATGACCAGGGTCGTTCCAGCTGGCGAAGGGAGGAGAGAAGGACAACAAATCAGCAACTTGTTTTACTGTAGACAAAAGAATATTTTTTCTCTTTGAGCAGAGCTATCTCCTAAGCTATCACAAATTGCTTTAGCTCTATCTCCACAGCAAACTCCGACCTCTGGAGTTTCCCACGTTATTTTTTCAGCATCTGTCTTCCAGATAGCAAGCAGCTCTTGCATTTCCTCATGTCTCATTCTGTCAGTGTGGAAATACGATCACACCCCGTCTGTTCATCCCCCTCCCCTCACTGAGCACAGCAGAGCAGGCAGGGAGTTGCACATGTACTTTCCCATGCTGACTATGGGCAACAAACAGCAGCTCCCACGTTCATTCTGTGCCCACACTCACTGCACCTACAGTGACTCCACGCCAGGTCTCCAAGGCACACGTGGGAACCCCGGCTTGGGGAGACCCGTGATGCTGGCGGCGGGGTGAGGCAGATGCTCGTGTCAGCCTGGAGACACTCGTGCTCACAGAAAGGCAGGAATTGCATTTTTCTCCCTGCTCTGGGTGCAGCCAGTTGCGCCAAAGGACCCCAGATGGATGTGCCAAACCCGCTGTTGGTGACAGGGACTCCACCAGCCCCGCGACTCCTCTGCAGGAGCCTCTGCCGGGATTTAGTGCCTTCCTGCTCCCAGGGCTTGTCCTGGCCTCTGTGCAGACCCACCCTGCGCACACAGCCCCGATGATACGAGAGGATGGGATCAAGCAATGGAAACAGCCCCCACAAACTGTGGTTTTCTAGCGCTGTACCCCAGGGAAGCCCGTCGCCCCAGGTGGGACCCTGCCTCTTGGCTTGGCCCACTCTGGAGGGCCTTCAGCATGGCCCCACGGGAGGGTTTCCCGTGTGTTCCAGTCCCCCCACAAGCTCCCTTTCTGCTGCTCCTCAAGGGCTGGTGGCTGCAGCGGCTGTTCCCTGTAAGAA